ATTTTATTGATTGATTTGTCTATGTTCTTATTGAATCGTAAATGTTATACTTTATTTATTGCTAATATATTTAAATTTAGAAAAAAATTATTATATTGATCCACCATAGTTTCCCTATATGTTTGACAATAGGTGAAAATGTTAAATCAAAAAGAGTAAGTTATCTTAAAAAGGATTTTTAGTAATTTTTTCAAATAAAGAAAGGCAAAAATGTCAAATCAAATTTGATAACATTCATTTTTAATGTGATTGTATCAAATTATTCCTTTTTAATACAATCACATTATATCCATTTGATTGTAATGTGATTGTATTATAATTTTATATTAGTTTATTTCAAAACAAACGTTGTAATGTATTTTAATTTTTTTATACTTGAAAATGTCAAATCAAAAAAGATAAATTATGTTAAGAAGAATTTTTATTAAATTTTTCAAAAAAAAGAAAGGCAAAAATATTAAATCACGTTTGATAACATTACAGAGTAAGTTGTAATTTGGAATTATATTCGTTTTTAATGCAATCATATTGTATCCATTTGATTGTAATGTGATTGTATTGTAATTTTATATTATTTTGGTTTATTTCAAAACAAACGTTACAGTATATTTTAATTAAATACATTGTAAAGAATGTGGAAATAAAATTCTCATATCAAACGCTATCGAATAAAATCAACCAAAACAAAAAATTGAAATCTAATTTCGGCATTTTATTTTTTAAACGAAATTATCAGTAAAGCATTATTCCAAGTATCAATCCTCTTGTGCAAGCAATTCAAAACGACTTTTGAGTTGGCGGCGGAGAAAGACTGGAATGTGTATTATATAAGAGGAAATACAAGGAAAATAATCTTTTTTAACAAAATATTGTATTGAAAAAATGGAATATTTCATTGAAATTGTCCTTCTTCACGAAATTTTTTAACAAAATATTCTTTCGAAAAAGATTACATCAAAAGAGATATGTTCATTGGAAGGCAAAAAAATGTCAAAATAGAATTATTCAATGTCAGAAATATTCCACAAATATATCTAAAAATATTCATTCATGGACAAATTTGTAGAACATCTAAAAATATTCCACAAGCGCAACTTCCGTCGACAAATAAAAGGGCTTCTTGCAAAAATTGTGAAATCTCTTACAACAAGTCTAAAATGGATGACCAAATTGCTTTAGTGATGATAAAAAATTTAAAAGTCTAAATGGAAACAACCAAGTCGCTATAAACCAGAACAAGCATCAAATTCTTCAAGAAGTTAGAAAATTCTTTAACGGCACCCGTAGAAGATTTTCAAAAACTTTCTTCTAATCAACTCAAGAAATTCCTCAAAGAACTAGTTTCTTAAGTCATCTAATTTGATCAATTAAAATTCATCTAAATTAATATAATTTAGAAATAAAATTCAAGTTTGGCTATTGAATTTATCTCTAAATAAATCAAGATAATTTTAAAATAAAATTTAAATTTAACCAATCAAAATTCAAAATTTAACCTATCAAAAAACCATCCTGTCATATGTTTTACCCTTAAATAAGTATAGTGCTTCTCCAAGTCATTTAACACACAATTGAAAAGAAGATGATTTTGAAGAACATATTGACGTAAAACTTCCGTGTGTCCCAAAAAGAATACATGAAGAACCAAAACGTTTTCCATCTAGATATCGGATGCATCCCCTCTCTTGAGCTCCTCTCTTCCTCCTCTTCTTTTCTCTCTCTTCGCACCTTTTCCCTATTTTTGATTCTTTATCACATCCAACACCAGATATGCTTGTCCATTGCCAAATCGATGTCGGGTGACTAGATGTAGCACTACCCTTTCCCCCCTGTTCTCTCTTCTCCTTTCTCTAGTTCATTATTTGTTGGCATAATTTAATGAATAGATTTTGCCATTAAAAAATGAATTGTGACTATTATCGATAAAAACGTCAATTGAAAATGGAGAAATTGATGTAGGATTAAAATAATATTTTGATAATAAAATAATATTATTTTATTAGAAGTGATTACATAAAATATTAAAATATTATTAGACGAAAATTATAGAAATAAATTTGTTTAAAAGTAGGAGAGTGAAGAATTTTACGATAAGAAAGAATTTTGTGACAGTAATTAAAAATATATGTAAATGTCTTTATGCTTGAATTTGAAATTCAAAGAATGTTCAATAAAGAAAGTTTTCATGCTAGTGGGGGACCGAAGGATGCCGCCCATGTGGGAGTGAGGTAAGCATGCAAGTGGCGAGCAAGAAAGTAATTTCCTTTGGCCAATGCATGTCTACCCGTGAAGCCACGCAAGGGAACAAGAAAATATCGCATGGCAAATAAAAATGCATGTGACCTGCCAAGTGTGGAAGAAAGAGATTTATCAAAGATTTTTTAAAAAATGGGCATTGTGCATTGTGGAATCCGCCCATTTGGAGGACCTTTGTCTGCCAAGGTTTTCCTCTCAAACCCGAGGATAGTAAAAAATATCCTTCTAGGAAGATGGTTGCCAAACAATTAAAAAAAAAAATGGAAAGGGAGTTTTGCATTTCTTCTTTGAAACCCGAGTATTCTAAGGGTAGTTCTAAACGTGGAGCTGCCAAGGAAACCAAGGAAAAACAAAAGTTGAAAGTATTAAACATTCTTCCATTGGAGAAGGTTTGATGAAGGAGGTAGGAAAGCTAGTAGAGAGAAGCAAAATCTTTGAGCATTTGATTTAATTTGACGAAAGTTGTTGCCGTGAGGTTCTCTTCTGAACCCATGCAGACACACCAAGAAAGGTAAGAATGTTATATTCTTTACTAGTCATATTTCTCGGAGTATTTACTAGAAAGATCATTTTTTTTGAATACGGAAGACGTCGGGGAAATACTAAATCGGGCATCTTGAAGGTAAAAGGATTTTAACTTTAAAGTTATGAATGTTGGGCTTTAAATTTTGAGTCGTAATGGATTCTGAAATTTGCATTGTGTTTGTATATGGATGCATAGTTGCGGGAAGTTGAGCTAAGGTTCAAAGGTATGACAAATGGTTGAGAGAATAATGTGTGCTTTTAGTACTCAACATAAGCTTGTAAGCTAGCATGAAATGTGATTAATGTTGAAACTAATGATCTAAGTATACACATAAACAGATTCGGTTGCTTACCAATAAAGGTGCTGGAAATTTTATCAAACACAGCCTAGCACCAAGGGGCAGATTGGTGAAGTTTGAAAGGAGGGGAAATGAATGAAATTTGGCAATTTAATTCCAAATAGTTTGTTGGCCGAATGTGTAGATAGGTTGGCATTTAACATATTACTAAGCAATACTACGATATGTATTGCTAGTGAATAATTGAGCTAGTGCCTCGGTTGTTAAACAATAATTGGCAAGGCACGGGTGATTGGCACATTGGCCGAAGCATTAAGCCGTCAAAGGCTTGGATGGTGGTGGTGATTTTAGTTGCTAAATCCTTGGCTGAATCAAGCTTAAGCTAAAGGAAGCTGATTGGTAATATTAGTGAGAAATCCCACCAATTGACGTGAGTGGGCAATTCCTTTTTAAAGTATTACTGAATGGTAAATATGATTTATTAAATATGCTAGATATGGCCAATGTTTAGATATTATTCAATGACATTGAGTTTTGATGTTTATATTTGGATTGTAACTGGGTTGATTGAGCTATTAGTGACTAAGAATGATTACTAAACTCGTTTTATACATGTTGTTTTCGCGGCATATCAAAACTATTAAGTTGTTTACAAAATGGGAAACAAGCCTTTGAAATATGATGAGATTTTATACTCTATTTTGAAGCATTCAAAATTGTATGTATTATACTCCCATATAAAAAGGCCTTAGAGTGGTCGTTAATGAGTTTTCTAATCTGCCTTGGTGGCTATTTTCATGATGCTTGAGTGAAATATTTTAACTATGCCATGCTCATTGATTTTCGTACGTGAACCTGCTATTTTAATGTTCACTGATTTTATGATGAACTTGGTTATATATCGCTCACAGCTTTCATGATTTAAACATGCATACATGCCTTCTGAGCTTATGGTTGAATTGATTATATGCAATTGAAATTCCATTGGTTCGTTTTTTTAAGTAAACCTTACAAGTAGATGTCTTGTTACCACACCATATTTGTTTGGTATTTGTATACAAAGTAGTGATTATTGATGATTGAGAACATGAAGCTCCGACTAATATTGGTGGCGTGGGGAGTTCCCACGAGTAGGTAAAAGGGGACCTAAAGACTCGACTTATATTTGTTATCATGGGGAGTTCGCACGAGTAGATATTGATGTTATTGATATCAGAGAGCTTACAGGCTATATTAGACCTCCTGAGGATATCCTAATTGATACGTTTTTATTAATTGAGCATGGCATTACTATTATATTTGTTTGAGAAAATCATGGCTTTGATTTATTAGTTTACATGACATTCAAGAAATTATATTGTTTAAGATCACCATGGTTAATTGATTTTATAGAGCATCGGATTTTTACATTGCAAAAGTGATTAAAATTTTTGAGATTTAAATTTAAGCATCTTATATTGATTTGCACAAGATTTATTAACTTTGTGCACATTTTATCTCATTATACATATATATTATCATTAGGCTTTTATCAAAAGCTCTACCTTAATGCTTGTTTTCCTTTTTGTCCACTCACTTAGTATAAAAGGCTTACCCCAACTAGTTGGCAATAGCAAATAAGTGAATTAATTGGGAATAGTCGTGGTGAGGAACATCAACTTGCTGCATAGGTAATTGGCATCTTATAGGATTTTCCTTGTGTCACTCTACTGTCTAGATATCAAATTGTTTACCGTTCTTAAATAAAGTGATGTATTCATAAAACTATTCTAGGTTGAGTCCCTTGGATACTATTTGATTAACTTTAAATGGAGTAATGCTTGAAGGTTTACATTTTAGAACATATTGTACATATATTTTAAATTTCTTGTTAAGAATTTTTATGAGTGTTTAAGAATTAAATTTACAATTCTGGTTTTATAGCATTATTAGTACATGATAATGGAAATAATTTATTTGGTGAGATTAATATATTTAAAAGGTTTGTCAGGTTGTGTAGGTTTGCTTACATGACTTGTGTGTTAATAACAACCGTAAAAGTGGGTCGTTTCGCATAATGTTCAAAAATTCTCCTAAATTGTTTAAATAAATTCAAATAAGCTCTTTTTTTTATTATATTTAATTAAGTATTTATATTTATATTTTGAATTAAATAAATTTTTATGATTAATGATAGACTAAATATTATTTGTTATTTTTATACTCACGTATTGTTGACATGACGTTGATATGAAAAGTGAAAATGTCACATAATTATATCATCATGTCATATCAATATGTTATATTATCATCTATTATAATAAGTTAGCATACCATGTCTGTGCCAAATGGAACATAATGATAAATAGTTTTTTGATTAAATCAATTATTAATAGGACTTATTTGACTAAAACTAAAAATATGAAGACTTATTAGATTCAAAATAAAAGTATATAAACTTAATTGAACGTAATAAAAAAGTAAAAGATTATTAGAATTTTTTTATATTTAAGTGATTTTTTTAGATATTATACTTGGTTTTCTCTCTTTTTCTCTCATCCTTTTCTTTTCTTTTAAAAATTTAAAAGAGTTATTTTAGAAAAAGAAATAGTTTTTCTTCCTTTTTATATCATATTTTTAATTTTTATTTTTATGAAATTTTATCTTAAAATATTCAAAATCAAAATTTAATAATAAAATTCTACTAAATTAAAATAAAGTGACAAAATTCATCGTTGGAATAGCGTATGACTATAAATTTGACATTAGGGATTTTATTTTCTTTTTACAAATTGGTTTTGTTGGTGAATTTAAGGTGAACGTGGCGATTCAAAAAAGCAAACAGCCACGTCACTCCAGTGGAAAACGTAGACTTTCTAGAGAATAGTATGCCAGATACTCAGGAATGGTTGTGGTGGAGCAAGAGCCTACGTGTCAAGAAATGCAACCTAATGCTAATGACTCATGCCACGTGGCAGAGCAGTGCAACGAGTTGGCTAACGGCTGCTGGCTGCCAAATAACAAATTCTAACCGCCTACAACGTACCTTCTCAACGCGACCTCAACTAAATTGGCTTCTCACCCTTTGTTATCGAAATGACAAGATTACCCCTAAAATACGTTATGTCGTTATCTGAATCTCGCTTTCTGAGGGTAAGAGGAACCCATATTTACCTATCAATCTTTCTATTTTCATTTGGAACTTCCTTTCAGCAGCCTTGGAATTTTGAATGTTTGAATTCATGAATTGAATGAAATTTACGGTTCAAAAGAATTTGACTTAATTATTTGGGCAAATCAATTGACTAAATTTGGCTTAATTAAGCTTTGATGTTACTATCTATCCATTAATTAAGACTTATCCAATAAGAATAACCTTTTTCATTGTCTCTAATAAGAATATCTTTATGTCTTAAACGTAATTTTACATGCTATAAAATATAAGCTTTGAATAAAGATATTATTTCAATAATTATTTTATAAAAAAATAACTATTAATATCATAAGGCATAACATTTGAACCACAAAATGAGAATACAACTTTTTATATCATAATTTTTAAATAGTTGTATTTTTTAATTATATCATAATATTTAGATTTGGAGGTATTTTGCACCTTATCAAAAGATATAACCTTTCACATAAATAATCATTTACAATCTAATAATCACATTATGTGATATAATTTTTCAATTGACATGTATTTTCAATAATCATTATTTTTTATATGAAAAGATATAATCTTTCATTTTTAAAATACATTGACATTTATAGAATTTCTAACTTAGAAAATAATATACTTCATATTAAAGCTTTTAAAAAATAATAGATACGTTATCATTGAAATATCTAAATAAGCTCAAGGAAAAAAGTCGTAGAGATATTAATTATTTTTTTCCTTTTAAGTTTAGATTTTTTTTTGGGTGGTGTTCGAACCATGAATAGAATGCCACTCCATGATGTATGTGTGTTGAATAACAAAAATCATCAATTTATTAATATTTATTGCATGAGTTTTAAATGTCATATATTACGTGTTAGTGGTACATAATTAAGTAGCATTTATTCATGTCGTCTTCATATCAACTCATATATTTTTATGGCTTGACGTTGACATGTGTTGACCGTTAAAACTCAATAATGTGGATGATATTTGTCTCTTTTAATTAGACTGAGGTTAATATTATTTATTCAGATCAACATTCTAATCGGTAAAAATGATTATTTTTTATTTAAGAATGTAGATTTTAATTTTATTTTTTAAATAAAAAAATTTTATATTAATCAATAAGTCAAATATTTAGACATATTTTAAAAATTATTTTATTTCTTTCCGTACTCAAAATTTATCCAAATTATAACTTGGAAAAACATAAATAGAGAGATTAGAGGCTCTAAGCCTCAAAATTAACTTGGATGGGTCAAGAATCTCTAGTGTAAAGTGATATATTTTTTTTTAAAAAAAAAAAGAAGAAAAAGAGTGATATATTTTGCTATGACCGCCATACATAAATTGGAGAGTTCGACAAAGGTTGGAATGTGTGGTTAGTGGTTGCGGCAAATCATGAAAAGGGGGGGATGAGATGAGGTCTCTGTAGTTCTTAAATTTGGATTTGAAAACAATGGGTCCTTAATGCCATAGTTATCAAATTCGATAAGGTAATATATTCAAGTGGTAGTCAAATGAAAGAATCCTCGAGGTTGGCGTTTTTGGGTGAACTTCCTCTGCCCAATACCAATTGAATTGAACGCTTCTCGAACGTTGACCTCCATAATATTCACATCACCTTTTCACACCAACTTAATTATATGGTAAGAAATCATTAATGCAACCATGCAATCACGATGAACCAATAATGGTATCATATTCTTTTCTTTTCACCTTTCAATTAAGAATATCATTTTGAAATAATAATAATTTAATTAAATAAATCAAAATATATGTTTAATAGGTCAATGTAGGTGAGCAAAATCATTCTCAATCGGAAAAAAATGAATCGAATTGAAACAAGTTTGATATTTTTGATTCAATAAGAATGGGTTTTAAGGTGTTCAATTAGTTTGAAGTGTTCGATTCGATTTTTGTTCGAGGATGTTCTTAATGGAACATACCGAACTAATATTATTTTAAATTTAATAATAACTTTGCATTGTTAGTTATTTTGAATTTACTTGAACATGTTAGAATTTATATTTGTATGTAACATATTAGTTGGGTTTTTTCATTCAAAATGTTAGTAACAGATCCACGGTTGGCGGAGCCTTAAATATTTGATGTCACAACCTCGAACGGAAGTAAAATTGTTGGATAGGAGAAGGGTTTGAGCTTCGAGGTGATAAATCTACATCCGTGTGGCCATCAGATGGTTCGCCGGGTTGGGTGGTTTATCCACACACACACTTCTCTAGGGAGTGGAAAGCACGTGCGAAAGGCAAAACAAATGAAGGAAGCGCACGTTGTTCACGCGCAGCTCAACACTTTGCATATGTTTGGTGAAAAAACTAAACGGAAATTGATTCAAAGAGATTTTCAACACGGTCCAAAACAGTCGTCATAGTATTTGCTCCGCAGAAAAGATATTTTCCACCAAACCTGTTTATTTCCTGCCCCCTTACGTCTCCCCCTTCTCTATCCTTTCCCCTCTCTCCCTCTGTCTCGCTCTCTCTATAAATAAGAATATCCGCATCCACATATGGACTCAGATTGAGATTTGGGTAGAGGGGTTTTGTTTAAACGTCTTGTGAAGCCAGGAGCAGAGATGGAGCTGGAGCAGAAGATGGGGAACGACAACAACAATAGTAATTTCAAAGCAAAGGAAGACATGGGTGTTGCGGTTCACAGCCAAGTGAGAAAAATAAAGCACGAATCAGAGCAGAGCATCGACTGGTCACCTGGACAGCCTGAGATGAGACCTGTTCTACGAGAGATCTCCAGGCATCAGCTTTCTCGCTCTCCTTTGGGCTTAAGCGGGAGACCGATCTCTGTTGGTCACTTGTAGTCGTCGTTCGGTTTGACGAATCTTTTGAAAGAAAAAAAAAAGAAAAATAATGCTTACTCGGACAAGGCAGGGAAGACCTTCATCCCCTGTTTTCATATAGAATTTTAAAGCTCTTTTCTCTCTGCCTCCCTCTGTCTCTTTGTATATATATTGTTCTGGATATAGTGGGATTTAATAGGTTTAATTAAAACCTGGCTGATTAGGGTTCTGTTCCCCATGATGTATCAATTTTTTGATCGATTTCTTGCAGACAGGTTTCATTTCATTCCTGGTAAATCTTTCTATATGTCAGAAATAGGGAAAGGTGTAGATTCATATATTTATCACATGATCCCAATCTGTTCACTCTGTTTTTCTCACTGCGTCCAATAACTAATATAATCAAAGACTAAATTCCTGTAATGATTCAGGTTAAAATCTTTTGATTTGTATATGTTAAGTGTGTTTCTTTCTTAATCTCAATGCAGTTGCCAGTTGGGAAATGTTTTGATTTGGTATTCTTGGCAAGTATATATATTATATTCTTTTCCTTTATAAAACTTATTATTTACTTTTTTTTGTTCTAAATTTGAAACTTTAATTACTTGTAAAATTATAATAAAAAATGGTAAAAGAGGGGTAAAAATTGACATTTAATTTGAAATAGATGGAATATTTTTGGATTTGTATGTTGTTGACAATATGTATAAAGTTAGGGGAAAGGGATTCAAATATGTTTTGCTGAAGCAAAATACTCTTCTTGATCTTAATTATTATAAATATTTGATTAAATTAATTTTTAATAAATATATATATTTAAAAATTAATTTTTTCAAAATTAATAAAGTATTTTTTTCAAGTACAAAAAAATAATGATCAAAATTAACCTAAAAAATTTTGATTAAAAGAAGTTAAATTGAAATGCTAATTATGGGAGGAAGGGAATATTAATTTTGGGAAATGAAACGGAGTGAAGAAGGCGAATTTACTTCGAAGTTAGGTTGGTTTAGAATTCAACTTTTGTCCTTGGAATTTTCAATTTTGGTATCACAGCATCTATAAGCTAATGTTTAAAAATGTTTGGTTTGAATAACCTCAACTGGCTTTTGTTCTTTCCAAGGACTAATAATTAACGCATGCCCAAGCCAGACAAAGAGGGAGGCTGACCTCTCCACTTGCACACCACAAATTTTGTTCAAACTCATCAAATTGGAGAAGTCTAACCATTTCCTTTTTTTTATTTGATCTTTTGGTATAAAACATTCTTATCTTTTTAAACATGTTATAGTCTGTAGATACATAGGGATGTCATGTCGAAGGACACTCTAAATAGGGTTAAAGATGAAAAAATAAATCAATAAATAAATCCATTCAAATTGATGCTTATTCAAAAAGAAAACCTCCACCATCGACTGCAGTTCATAGGTTTGATCATTGGCACTTTTGGTCCATTGACACCAACAATCTCTCTTAATTTCAACAATAGTTTTCATTCTATCCAAGAAAATTCAAAAATTTGTTTAAATTCAACAGTAGTTTTCATTGACACCAATTTAGGTGCAAAATTTGATGCTTATATTGCTAAAAACAATTATAAATTATATATATGTATTCAATTTTTCTTTTAAAATTAGTCTAAGTAAGCCCATATCCACTTATTGGGTTAAATTGAAATGAGCATATCGTCACAAAGAAAATAAATCTTTGGTGACGTAAATGTCACCAGTAAACCAATTTAATTATTTTATTGATGGAATAAACCAATTTAATTATTACAATAAATACTAATTGTCGCTTTAAAAATATTATATTAGTAATGATTAAGTCCTTTGGTTTCAAAATATGTGAAATGCAATAATAAAAAAGAATATATAATTAATATTAAAAATTTTAAAAATATATAAAATAGAAACAATGTGTAATAATAATTTAAAATCCATCTATTTGCATTAACATAAAAAGAATCAAAAGTATAATAATAAATTCAAATAGTTTTTCTATTCTACCGAAATACAATTTCCCTCATGTTAATGTGGCTTTTTTTGGGATATAGATAGCAAGTCTTTTATTATTTTCTACACAAATTCATGATTGTGAGGAGGTTGTGTTTTCCTTGGATTCGTATGAGTGTGTGTTAAAGGATACAGCTAACTCTGGATTTTTCCAGAGAAGCCTTTTTCCTGGTGAATCCTCTGAGGACGAAGCCTTTAATAAATTTTATCTTGAATAAGCAAAAAAAAAAAAAAACAAAAACACAAAAAGTACATGCAAAGAAAGTTGTTTGTAAAATTTTTAGTCAAAATTAA